TTGAATTGCATGTACCCTCTTACTAATGAAATTTGAGTTTTCTTACCTGAAAATAAGGATAGATTTTTTAAATAAGTAAAATGTGTAACATAAATGATCAAAAATATGTAGATGATGGTCTATCTTATCATTGCACTACCATAAAATACACATGAAGACTGTAAAAAGTTAAAATTTAAACAAAAATATACACAAACACTGATAGACTATGTATAGTGCCATTGGCCATAGGAAGTGTAAAACTATAATTTAACTGTCATGCATTTTGTACTAGTGTAAAACCTTAGACATCATCGCCTATTCTCAAATCTAGGGACACCTCACAGAAGGGCAGAGAGGGGGGTGGCCCAGGAGGCACCTGGTCATGGCAGGGACAAGCCTGGCATCATAAAGGTTAGGCAAACAGTAAAAAAAAACAAATTCCATGTAAGGAGTAGATATGGTTTCATCAACAGGTGTGTTGCCAAGGACAACAGATCACTGTATGGAAAAACACCTAGAGGCAGCCTCCTTGTGAAAGAGCTGGAAACGGAAGGGTTTGTTGGTGCTGTTGAATGGGAAAGGGTCTGTGGAGGTAGCAATGTTACAGACCCTGGAGGAGTCTATGCTTAAGACAGCATGCAAGTGGTCTATACCCTCGTAGGCTCTAATCATGTTGTAGGGCTCCTCCACATGATTGATTGTACAACTGCCAGAATAGTGAAGGAGAAATGGGAGAGGCTCCACGGTCAGGCCTTACTCCAAGCCAAGGGCCCCACCACACGACACGTGGAGAGACCTGGTGGGTGTAGACCACCACCTTGCACTCTTCCTGTACAAAAGTGGGGTGAGTGCTGACAGCCATGATGCAGAAGGGGGTGCACTAGCCAGGCTGTGTGAATATAATGATGTGGGTGGCGACTTCGTAGGGCCTTGGTCACTGGACAAGGGCAGCCTACACTGTGGTGAAGAGGATGGTACACTCAAGAAGAGAATCAAGGTCAGCAGTCATCTCAATGTGCCTTCCTAATGCTGCCACTTCAATTAGGACTCAGATTCCATAAGTTCAAAGAGGAAAAGCAGTCCATCCCCAGCTGAGTTCTATCTGCCCTTAGAGATGTAAGGGCTTCCTGTGGGAAGGTACAGTATCAGGAACTTGAGGCAGTGTCCATGGCCTGAAGCGGGAAAGATGAACACTAATGCTCGGCTCACTTTCTCCTTCTGATTCAGCCCTGGGCTCTAGCCAGTACAATGGTACTGCCCACGTTCGGGGAGGGAGGGGTCCCTCTTAAACTTTCTAGAAACACCCACTAGACACACCCAGCAGTGGATTTCCATGGTGATTCTAAATCTGGCAAGTTCCTGCCACCATGCCTTTCCCACAGCCAGGCCTTGTACCCTCAACAGAGAGCCAGGTGCACCTTTCATCAAGCTGCTTCTCGTTAGGCATGTGGTCACAGCGATGAGAAAGGTAACTAAACAGAGGGAATCAGTGTCCCCAACTCCTGAGCTGTTCAAGTGTCAACCGCATTTCCTTTCAAAAACAAAGCACTTATAAGTCAATTTCACACAACTCACAGACTTTTCAACTTCAGGCCAAAGATGCTCATCTACAAACTACACACCACACACACACACACACACACACACACACACATCTCTTACACACACATCTCTTTCACACACACCACACACTACACACACACACATCTCACACACACCACACATATCTCTCTCACACACACACTGCTCAATACGAAGACTGGAGTAATAGTTTTAATCTTCATGTTACCATATACATTTCCCTTTTCTTTCCTTCCTTTTTATCTTTGTGGTTCTCTGAATCTTTCCTGTCCTACTTCCTTGGGGGGAATCTCAAAAAAAAAATAAAAATAAAAATAAAAAAGGCTTATCTTCTCAGCAAATGCTGTGAGGCTCAGATGTTTGCTGTGTGCTGAGTTTGAGGATCCTGGAAGCTCAGCAACTGAGATGCATTTGCAGATCTGAACCACGAAGTAAACTTACAAGAATATTTGCCTTAGGAAACATGAACATTTGGTTCTTAAGTGCTGTCTCAAGTATGTCTTCATCTACGGAGGTTATTGTTTATTAAATCAATATGATGCACTGCCCAGCAAACGCCTGGACAGGAACCCTCACTTAGCGAGCTGGTGGAGGCAGAAAGCAAGCAAGTTCCCCTGATGTCTAGAAAGCCTTCAAACCTGCCTGGATCTTCCAGGGAAAACAAGCACCTTTGAAAGTCAAGCTTGGAAAACTTGGCTAAATATCTTAAGTGAATACCCTCGGAAGTACCAATCAGGGAGTGCGGAAGAGGGGGCGAGAATACCGTCTTGCCTGCAGAGAGAGGGTTAGCCAGAAATGACGTAAATTTGACCAAAAGAGATTAATTGAGTTGACTGGGGCCATTGCCTTCAAAGTAAAACAGAGAGAGAAGCTAAATGTCCAGGGGCAAGGAGCATCTACGGGCTTTCACCTCTGAGACAGGCTAAGCTTTTCTAAAGACTCTGGTGCACTGATTCTCAATCTGTGGGTCGTAACCCCACAGACAAACTTCTGTTTCCAAAAAATTTACATTTGATTCATAACAGTAGTGAAATTACAGTTACAAAGTAACAATGAAAATAACCTTATGGTTGGGTGGTCACCATAATATGAGGTCACAGAATTAGGCAGTTTGAGAACCAATGGTCTGGTGTCTTCCATAAGCATGTTTATTCAGATTTGAAGGTCTTTCTTCTAAGAGGCAGTAAACTCACTTTATAGATAATAGAACATACAAGTAAGGCATGTTTTTATCTTGACATCAGGAAGGTTGGTTTCTTCTGGCAAACCATATAGTATACTTTTATCACTTTAACCATCCTCTAGTGCTCAGTTCCTGGGCATTAAGTATGGATGGCTATGTGGCTCCCACCACTGCTCATCCCAGGGTCTTCTTGTCACCCAAACTGAAACTCTTAAATACATGAAACAGTAAGTTCCCCTCTCCAGGGCCCTGATAATCACTTTCTACCTTCTCTACAGTTTTGACTATTCTAGGTCCCTTTTATAAATGTGACCATGGTGTTAAATTAAAGAAAAAGAAGAAAAAATAAACAGAACAAAGCAGAAACACATTTAAAACAGATTCAATTGAGCTGAAGTCCACGTCATTAAACAGAAACTAAGCTGTTTGTTATGACCTAAGGACTCAGTTAACCATCATGGGAACACAAGACCGTTCAGTGGGTAAAGGTGTTTGTACTCCAGCCTTACACCCAACTTCCCAAAGTTGTCTTTTGACCTACACATACACTCACACACAAATAAACAAACTCCCCAAATAGGCCAGTTAGGTGGAATTCTTTCTAAACCCTGGCACAGAAGCTAAGCTGAAGAAAGAGGCCAGCCAAGCAGGTCCCTGCCACAGCTCTGCCTCCTGGGCCTTGCTGTCCACAGAACCAGCGGCTCCTGCCTATTTTGTGTACAGATCCAGAAGCAGAATGCTAGACCACAGAGCAATTTTATGCTTAGTTACTTGAGGAACACTGGTCTGTCTTCCACTGCCGATGATCTATTTTCTATTCCTGGCCACAAAAGACAGGAGTTTGCTTCTCAGTACCCACGCCAACACTTTGTATTTTCTGGTTTCATTTGTGTTTAAATAGTGGCCATCCTAATGGGTGTGAAAGAGAATTTTTAATGACTAGTTCTATACCAGGGTGGGACCAGCCATTGGGCCATTGGGAGTGCTGTAGCAGAGACTAGACTAGACTGACTGACATGTTCAGTCACACAGATGGCCCGCTGTTCAAGCTTCTGGCCTCGGGGTGAGTAGGGCCGGAGGTCCAGTACATTTCACATACCAAGTTAAGAACTGCCTCTTCTGGGAGGAGGCAGCAACTTTTCTTCCTGGAAAACAATGTCAGCTTGCCAAGCTGTAGGCACAAAAGGCCGTGAAAACTGAGACAATTTCTCCTTCCCGGAGAAGTAATAGTTAGACCAGATTAATGTACAAGGTAATGCCTGATCCAACAGAACTAGAAGAACATTAATACCTGTCCACCGTGGTATTCTGTTATCTCTTTAATGGTTTTACAAAATGGCCCCTGAATTCTTTGACCCTCCACATACTGACAAGCGGGGCCTCTCCGCCATCACCTTTGATCTGGGATCAGTGGCTGACCGGATCAGTGGCTGACCGGATCAGTGGCTGACCGGATCAGTGGCTGACTGAGTTGAGCACTAGTTCACTGGTGCCGGTACCCGGGCCGAGGCCTTACATAGATGGCGGTTTCTACTTCCTCACTCTCGGGACATTTCTTTTGGCCACCACACCGTGAGGTTGCCAAAATTCCTTCCCAGAGGAGATATAAGTCCTGTCCACCCTTCTTCCTAAGGTCCCAAGAACAAACTGAGGTTCGATTCCACCACAGTTACTGTAAAGAACCAATGAGTTATACAGCACTCATACAAGCAAGCCCCCTTCTCTGAGGAACCCAGGTGTCAACTCACATGCAATGGCTTTTGGCCCTCATCTCTGCTCCTACGCCCTCATCTCTGCTCATCACACAATCTTGACACAGTCTTGTGATAAAGACACAGTCTTCTGTAGGGTCTCCCTATCACCGTTTCAGTCACTTGGGCATCACCATTTCCCTGCGCATGCATGAGAACCTTCCACAGACTCTCCAGCTTCCCCCTGCCCTGAGCTAAGGCTTTGTAGTCTTGCAGGGCTACTTGACCCAAGGACATAACTTCCTCTAAGATGAGAAGTTACCTTAGCTTAACTCACAAGCTAAGTAAAGCTGACAGCGGACAAAGGAGACCCGACCCTTGGGCCCTGGCTTCCCCTGCAGATCAAATCCTCCTGTTCTCGCCGCCGCCTGGTGCCTTGAGTTTCTTTTTAAGGCCCGGCACAACTCTGAGTCTGGTCTGTTACTCCTTACTCCCTCCCTTACCCCTCCTAGACCCACCCCCAGCTTTATCTCAGGAAGGAAATAGTTAAAGATTCCTGCCCTTCAGGGCCTGGCGGGGGCAGCAGCCTTGCAGCTCGGTGACTGCTCCCCCGAGGGGAGGCGGCATAGGACGCTCCTGCAGTTCGGTCCCAGAGTGGAGGGGAAGGTCTGGAAGCCTGTGGAGTCTAGGAAGGACCGCGGGAGGCGTGTTCCTCCGGAGTTTGCTTTTGCTTGGAAGACGCGAGCGGAGCGCACACCCATTCCTCTGGCCGGGCGACTGTGCCGGGGAGGTGGGGAGCCATTCTGATTCACTGAATCGTCTCCGGAGGTTGCAGGCTGGGCGAGATCTCCCCCAGAGGTCCCGGGCCCTGCCGAGGGAGTTTCCCCGAAGTCGGCGCAGTGCTGCAGCCGCGGCCACCCGCCACCCCGCGCGCCACCTTCCCTCGCTCCCGCTCCGTCTGGCCCAGGCGCGAACCTGGCACTGTCTGCGTCTGAGGAACCCCCAGGTCGGTGCAAGTCTTTCCTAATGGGAATCAGTACTGGGACAAGGGACAGGGTCGCATCCTGGAACAATCGGCTAGGAGGAGCTGGGGTGTCGCGCACCGCCCGAAACGCCGCGGCGGGGCTGGCACCTACCTGCCCTGGCGCCCAGTGTGGGTCGCCTTCCTAGGGGCCGAGCGCTAGGGGGTGGGAGTGGAGTGGGGGTGCTGAGCTTTGACCACAGATCAAAAGCATTTTACATCCCCAGGAGAGACTCTGATTTTTAGGAAAAGGAAGTTGGCCCAGGGGTGTCTCTTTCTCCACAGGCAGGCAAGAACTTTCAGTGGTATCACGCCTAAAGCTTGCTCCAGAGCCTACTGGTGAAGCTGGCCACTGCAGCCTCCTGGCATCCCGCACCCTGGGTGTGCGTCGCCAAGGACACTTACTGTGAAGATCCCATATCTGTGAATCCTCTCACACCACGACTGCAGCTAGTGTTGAGACTCTGTTGTTGGAGGTCCGGGCTGTTTGCTCTGTGCTGTCCTTTAAAGGGCACTTGTTGCCTTTCATGTGCAGAACACCAGCCGTTTGTAGATAAGCCACCTCTGTTTACACCGCCCTAATGGCCTCACCCCGGCAGACATGGGGTGAGGATATATTAAAGTCAGACGGTGCCACCAAGGAGCGTCAGAGAACAAAACCACAGAGAACTTGAAAACAAAAGTTCTTAGTTTAATTTTTTCTCTGCTTGGAGTTGTTAATGGACACCCATCCCCAAGATCCCATCTGTTTTAAAGTGTTGGCCAACTGAGAAATACCCTGGCAACCGTGTCTTGCAAATTACCTGTTCTAAACACGTGCAGTTTGGGTGCCATGGGAATTTCCAAATTGCTAATGGCAAGTGAACTTTTATCCTGAGAGTCTGATGTGCTAAATAGGTAAAGTGCTAAGGACTCAGCGTTTGTTAAAGCACTCTAAAATCTGAGACCCACAAAGGAGAAACCCTGAATCTGTAGACATGTCCTTCCGCCTGAACGTAGGCTGCTTCTCCAGAGTTGTGCTGACTACAAGAGAAGATGCCTAACAAAGCTTGACTCGAACACACCAAAATGAGCCCCAGACCCATCCTTGGGAAAGCGTGTATTTGAAAGAGGTTTCTTTCCTTTGGTTTTGGGTCTTTTCACTCTGTGACAATATGGTGTCCACATGTCTTTGACAGATGTCCCTTAGATGTGGAGAGCTGACAGAGGTGCCGGGAAATGAGTTCTTTGGTAGTGTTTTGGTTGGGGGAAGCAAGCAAGCAAGGAGGGTTCAGTGGTAGCTGGCTCACACCATAAAGAGAAGTGGTGGCTTTGACCTGCTCCGTGCCTGTAGCTATCAGCTGATGGAGGAAGGCGGCAAGCTCCTATGAGCACCAGTGAGGCACTTCATGAGAGGTACAGTGCCAATGATAAGCAAGTGGTCCATGAAGTCACCTGCGGGATGATCGTAACAGATCATGAAGCTATTCTGTTTATGGAAAAGACTGCTGTCTCTCATTTTTAAGAGAACTATTACTAACTACTACATTCCCATTGGGAAACTAGGAACCTTTCATCACAAAGCAGTCAAAATTAAAGAATTGTGCCTCCCCTCAATATTCAAAGAGACAGACTTTAACAAGCTTTGTGCTTGGAATCTGGTCTCCATCTGGGAAAGGAAATGAAGATATTTTGTAGGCCTACTAATAATTCAGCCAGATTCTCTGGCCTGTAAGACACAGGAGAGGAAATCTGTAAACTACTTAGAATTAGGGTGAGCAGAAGTGGGGTGGTGATAGGTGGATGCAAGGTCCCTCGTTTGAAATCACAGCAGCAAGTGAAACCCTGTGACTCAGCTAGGAGGTGGGGTGACTGTCCTGCCACTTTAGGCTGTGAAGCCATCTCACTTCACCTCAGGACTCATTTTCTCTCAAGTGAAGTGTAGACAATTGTTCTGCTGCTGCAGGGCAAAAGCTCAGAGCAAGAAACAATGGCATCAGGTGCAGTGTGTAAAATGCTCTTGTTTCAGGAAGCAAAAGTACAAGGTCCTCAGTGGGTGTTTGGCTTGAACTTCCTATACCAGTCAATATGTCTTATTTTGTCCTCATGTTGACTAAGCCTGGACTTAGTGATGCCCCATGACAGCTGCCAAAATCCCTAAAAGTGGTCAGCAACAGCCTTGAGCAGACTCCAGGAAAGGAATGTTAGTTTTAAAACTTAGGATTAGCTGTACATACCCAAGATACACACACCACTGCCCGTAAATGAAGTCATGGTCTTCGTTTACAGATTAATTTTAAAAAGGTACAAAATACCGAAAGAGAAGGAGCTATTTGCCTTTGATTGCTACCCTCTCACGGCCATCCTTCCTCAGTTTTCTAGTGTCTTATCTTTAAGTGTTGGAGGGGAAAACTAGATTTACTGAGCAACAGGGACCATGTTCTGTAGTAGAATATTATTTTAAGGTGTGTTACTTTTGTTTGTGTTGTATTTGTTTAACTCTGTGAAGCTGTGTTACTTTGCCTGTCTAAAACACCTAAGGGTCTAATAAAGAGCTGAACAGCCAATAGCAAGGCAGGAGAAAGGATAGGTGGGGCTGAGTGAATATATAGAAATAGAAATCTGAGAGAAAGAGGAGTAAGGAGGAGGACTCCAGGGGCCAGCTACGCAGCCACCTAGCTACACAGCAAGCCACAGAGTAAGAGTAAGATTTACAGAAGAGAACGAGAAAAACCCAGAGGCAAAAGACAGATGGGTTAAGTTAAGGAAAGCTGGCAAGAAACAAGCCAAGCTAAGGCCAGACATTCATAATTAAGACTAAGCCTCTGGTGTTATTTATTTGGGAGCTGGGTGGCTGACCCCCCAAAGAGTGAAAACAACCTACAACAATGTACCCTTTGCAGTGACAAAGCAAATGAATGCCAAGTGTTCTTTTGATAACACCTGACCACCCCTCCCAGTCTGTTGCCTCATCTAAACTCTGGAGTCATCTTCAGTATGTTGTTGGCACAAATTAGGCATGAAAATGAAAGATGGAATGGCTTAGCGGTTAAAGCTCAGGTTTGGAGTCAGATGGAGCCACCTCAGAGTTGTGGATTTGCCACCATCTGTGACCTCCACGAGCTACCAGGCTTTTTCTTCAGCTTCCCTGTCCTCTTGGTGGACCTGTGTATGACTTCATGGGACCCTCACATGGGCTAGTCAGCAGCAACACATGACATATTTACAAATTTAGCTAGAAAGGATGCTTGCAAGATAGTACAAAGCCAGCTAGCCCTTGGCACACCAAATAGTGTGACTAGCCTGGGAAAGCCTGTCACTCACATGGCGCCCATTGCCAGGTGTCATAGTGGTTTCTGAATGCATAGAAGGAGGGTTTAAAATATGTGGATTTTGGCCAAGTGTTTCAAACTAAATCTTTTCATCAGTCATCTTTTTTTTTTTATTTTATTTTTGTGGTGCTGGAGATGGAGCAGGTGTGAGTATACAAAGCAAATGCTGCACCTGCAGCCCCTCAGTCATTCACAGTTTGTTAAGACTTGAATTGTTAGATGTATTCATGGTGCTAAGCAGACTTCTGCATCAAATGAACACTGTAATGCTCTAGACTACGCTGTAATGCTCTAGACTACACTGTTGATGCTTTAGACTACACTGCTCATGCTCTAGAGTGCACTGATGATGCTCTAGACTGCACTGATGATGCTCTAGACTGCACTGATGATGCTCTAGACTGCACTGATGATGCTCTAGACTACACTGTTCATGCTCTAGAGTGCACTGTTGATGCTCTAGACTACACTGTTGATGCCTAGACTACACTGTTCATGCTCTAGAGTGCACTGATGATGCTCTAGAGTGCACTGTTGATGCCTAGACTACACTGTTGATGCCTTGACTACACTGTTGATGCTCTAGACTACACTGTTGATGCTCTAGACTACACTGTTCATGCTCTAGAGGGCACTGTTGATGCTCTAGACTACACTGTTCCCATCCCAGAGCCTTGTTCCCATCATGTGCAAACCACCACTCACTGGGGGATGATGAATTTTTAGTCACAGAATTAGATTCTTCTATTTTGTGCCTCAGTATGAATCAACTTCCCCTTTTACCTTTTTTTCTGTCTCACTTCTGGAAGATTCATGTTCTCATTAGCCTGAATAAAGGGAAAACAACTGCTATTTTTGAGGAATATTTCTGTTGTGATCTAGATACAAAAGAGCTGTAGCTAGAGCCAGGACCGGGGTGGGGGTGTCATTTCTTGCTGTAATGTATCTTTGGCCTTTTTTATTTTGATCTGTCATGGGTATCCTGACATATCATATCTAATTACTAAATATGGCTTATATTTTCATTAAATTAGTAAATACTCATTACCTATGATCTTTAGGAGCAGCTAGATTTTGTAGGCAAATAATAATAATATTTCCTTTTTTCTTCCAGGTGAAAGAAAGGTGTAAAAAACGACAGAAGACATTTCTTCAAATCCACATTATGATGGATACTTTTTGCCTCAGGGCATCCTTTTGGCTGGCCCTGGTGGGAGGAGCAATCAGTGACAACCCTGAGAGATACAGCACTAATCTAACCAGTCTTGTGGAAGATTTCACCCCTTACCCGGGGACAGAGTTCAACTTCCTGGGTACCACTCATCCACCTACTAATTTGGCCCTGCCTAGCAATGGCTCAATGCACAGCTATTGCCCACAGCAGACTAAAATCACATCAGCTTTCAAATACATTAACACTGTGATATCCTGCACCATCTTCATCGTGGGAATGGTGGGGAACGCAACTCTGCTTAGGATCATTTACCAGAACAAGTGTATGAGGAATGGCCCCAACGCTCTCATAGCCAGCCTGGCCCTGGGAGACCTTATCTATGTGGTCATTGATCTCCCCATCAATGTGTTTAAGGTAGGAAATTCCTGTGGACATTGTTGACCTCTGACACTTTGCTCTGTTCTGACTGGGAGACTTAGTTCTGCTATCTTATAGCTCACTGACGTTTTAAGATTGTTATTGCTATGTATTAGACTATTTTCTGACTAAGCTGTTGGCGAAACAGTATTTCTAGGATGACCCTTAAGATGTTTCTATGGCATGAAGTGCGTTCCCATGCCAGCACTCAGTTTGCTGGCTCCCAGGGAGGTCTTGGGGCAGTCAATGATTGGAGGTTTTTTGAGTTTTTAGGGTGAGATGTACCAAGCTCCCAAAGAACATAAGGTTAAATATATATTCAATTTTAGTTATCTTTCAATGGGATACTGCTCAGAATAGATACCCACAGCAGAGCGTCGAGTGGAAAACTTCTATTTTAGTCTGAGTGCCTGGGTGGATGATTGAGCTGAAGGGCTTGCTGGCTTCTCTCACTATCTGGTGACCTGGAGATAATGAAACCCATGGATAGAAAGAAGGTCAGGACTGAAATGCTAACTAAAACCATGCAAAATAGCCCTGTTTGCTCCTTCCCTTTTTCAGCTGTGCCCTCCCTTCAGCTAGGAACAGGGGTTCAAAGACCATGAAGGGAAGTTGATGCATCCGTCGGGGGAGATGAGTGTCTAAACATGGCTGGGATCACCTTAGATCCCACCTTAGAGAGTATTAAGAGAAATAAACTAAAACCAAAAGAAGCAAAATATTCTGTACTTGCTGTAGTAATTGTGAGGGGAAGTTGCTGAAAAAATTTAAGTACAGTAAAAGTCAAATGAAATTAGCATGTGTGCCACATTTTAAGAAATGTCTTCACCTTAAACCCAAGGAAACTGCTTTCCCCGGACTTTATTTCTCCCCTTCTCCTTCTCTCCCCCTTTTCCCCTCCAACTCCTTTTCTTCCCCCACCTCCTGTAGTGTGAAGTCAGGCTCCTCCCCTTTCTCCTCCTCCTCCCCATCTTCCTTCTCTCCTCCTCTTATTTCTTTTCCTCCCCCTCTTCCTTTTCCTCCTCCTCTGCCACAGAAATAAATGATTCTAGGTCAATGGTTCTCAACCTTGGTCATGGCCCCTTTGGGGGTTAGATATCAGATATCCTGCATATCAGATATTTATATTATGATTCACAACAGTGGCAAGATTACAGTTATGAAGTAGCAACGAAATAATTTTATGTCTGTGGGCCACCACAACATGAGGAACTGTATTGAAGGGTCACTCATTAGGAAGGTTGAGAACCACTGTTTTAAGTGATACAATTCTGAATTCTGAATTATTACTTTAAACGTATTTGCTAATTAAATTATGAGTATCAGGGTAGCCTGAAGTAGCCTGCCCGTTTCTAGTAGCTGTGTTTAAATCACAGTGAAATCTTATGACAATACCACAGCACAGAGCTCTAGCACTGACGATGGAAGCAAAGTTTGTTGTTTTGTTTTGTTTTGTTTTGTTTTGTTTTGTTTTGTTTTGTTTTGTTTTGTTTTGTTTTGTTTTGTTTTGTTTTGGAGACAGGCTTTCTCTGTTTAGCCTGGGCTCTTCTGGAGTTCCCTATGTAGACCAGGCTGGCCTCGAACTCACAGAGATCCTCTGGCCTCTGCCTCATGAGTGCTGGGATTAAAGGCATGCGCCACAACACCCAGCTGGTAATTTTTTGAATGTTAACAATTTTCAAGATTGTACCATGGGCTTTTTGGAAAAGTAGAGAAATTAGACAATGAATAATCAAAAAAAAATCACATACTCTTTCTTTCCTTGGAATAAGTATGAATGCATGTGATTTTAGTTTGAACATAAAAACAGAATTTTGGAACTAAACTATGAAGCAAAGTTGAAAACGCATAATTAATTTAAAATGTTTAGCATATGCTTCAAAATTTACTTTTTTCTCTTAAAAAGTTCTTAATTTTCCATTTATGAGTTGTCATGAACACTTAACACTTCACTTTCCTGTGATAACCTTCTTCAATGATAGATTTTAAAAGATTGCCATGACTTTTGGTCAAAATTTGACTCTTTAGTCTCAGTTGATTATTGGTGAATGTTCTCATTAATTCTTGATTATTCGTGTGTAGACATTGGTTAGCTAGCTCATCTTTGTTCAAGAGAGTGACTAACCATCTCTAAACTAACTCCCTGCTTCGGTTCTGTCTGAAGAATGCTCTGTAGACACAGCCCTGTGCAAAGCAATGTCTTGGCAAACTAATAGGTATAGCTGCCGGGGAGCGGAGGGGAGGGGCCAGAGGAGGGGCAGGGTGAGAGGAGGGGAGGGGCAAGAGGAGGGGAGGGGCGAGAGGAGGGGGATGGTTATCTTCGAGTTGCTCCTGCCAATCACCACACTAAGCTTCATTTCTACCAGATGGTGAGTCATGTTAGCTGAGAGAGTTCTGACTATTGTAGAAATCCAAATACAATTTATATTATTCATGTAGTGATAGATTGACGCATCGTTGTCCGACTCCATGGTTCTTCACTCTGGGGACTCTCTTCACTCTGGGGACTCTCATAATTGATGCACCTTGTTAAAATTTGAAGCAATATAGACAGTGTGGTCATGGTGCTTTCACATCACATGACTAGTTGTGTAAGTCCTGTTTTTTAAATGTAATATGAGTCAGTGGACCAATTTGAGTTTTACAAATTAAACTTTTAAAAATATTTAAATATTAAGTATTTAAATAGTTATCTCAATCCTCTTCTGAGGAAAGAAGACAGCATTACCGTGAGCTTAAGAGGCAGTAGCAGTGAAGCTGTCTCCATGTTGTTCTGTCATACTCTTCTGTAGGTTGTACAGGAGTGTTTCACAGAGCAGCTGATGGAAAACAAGGGTCACATAACTGAGCTGTTTCCCATCTGACACCAGCCGTGTAGCAGGCATTGGTGCTTTCCATGGTCTCTGGGCATATGTATCAATGAGCTTGACCCCAAATAGTGGCTGTCAAGGCATTTAAAGATCTCAAATAAACAACTGGGTTAGGTGTGGCGTGTATACATGGCATTAGGAAGAAATAAATCAAAACCTTAAGAGAAACATCTCCAGACTTTGCTTGGAAGCACACCCTCACACATGAATGACAAGAGAAAAAAAATCACAAAATCTAACAAAACAGAATGTGAAGCAGACGGCACACGGAATACAAATGAATGCCAGGTGGCTTCTGGGTCTTCAGACACACGAGGGCCGGGCAAGTGGTAGCGCTGAGGGACAGCTATGACAAACTTGACTGGCGCCAACTCTAATTTTTAGTTGCTTAAAAAGCAGATAATGTCATAATTGCAAAAGAAGACTAATAAAAACGGCGGGGGGGGGGGGAGCTTGCATGATCTTCCCTATGCCCAGGCTTGCTGCCTGTACTGGATAAACTGGAGGTGGATTCAGTTTGCCAGGAAAATGCATTGTCTAATATCCCAAATTCAAGAAATATAAAATTTAGCCAAGTATATCAATATTTGTTCACAAAGCATTTGCATTTTAGGAGGGCAACACAGTGCAAGCATCATCTCTGCATTTGAGGATCAAAACTAATCCCCCGTTATCATTGGTTAGAAACATAGAACATAATAACTTTTATTCTTTAATGACATGAAATTATATTTATTTCAGGTAGTATTGCCTGTCAGTATATGAGTTATGATTGGTAATAAAGTAGAAACCTCAAAAGTGAAGTTTGTGGGTGGGCCAAAGCTTGGCAGCATGTAGTTTCAGGATAATAATTTACCCAGATGTTCACACAGATGTTCCCATAAGCCACTGCGCCTTGCCTTTTAAGCAGAAACAAGAAAGAGAGAAACCATATGTATGAGAGAAACAGGGTAAAACGAGTGAGAGTTAGGTCATGAGGAGAGGCAAAAAGTTGAGCTTAGTGTCCAGGTCCTCCAGTAGTGACAAGTTGAAACTATGGTGCTCTTTAGATAGTTTGGTAGGTAAATAATGCCTCCATTTAGCACATATCAAGAAGCAGGTTCGTGGCCGGGCGGTGGTGGCACACGCCTTTAATCCCAGCACTCAGGAGGTAGAGCCAGGCAGATCTCTGTGAGTTCGAGGACAGCCTGGTCTACAGAGCAAGATCCAGGACAGGCTCCAATGCTACGCAGAGAAACCCTGTCTCGGAAAACAAAAACAAAACAAAAAATGAAGAAGGAGGAGGAGGAGGAGGAGAAGGAGGAGAAGGAGGAGGAGAAGAAGGAGAAGGAGGAGGAGGAGGATTTCGTGAGAATCCCAGAGTATAATGGTGCCTACTGACTCTGTCCTACTGTAAGCAACCACCCCTTACTGAGAGCAGCAACCAAAAGTAAGCAAACGCAGTTTCTGCATGAAATCCTCAAGAGTATTTTGCAATGGGAAGCCAAGGCTCCCAGGGTCTCTCTCTGGCAGAGGATCTGAACAGACCAGAAATGAAAGGCTTTTACCTAAGGCCAATTACTCTCCATATTCACCCAGTCTCTGCCATCTGGTGCTCTAGAACCCATGTTTTTGAGCGAGTAGTACAAATGTCATTTCATGGCACAGCCAATCACCAAGACAGTTTGGGTCTCAGATGTAAGTGGTCATACTTATATATCAACCACCTCAAACATAGATGTTCAGTAATGCGTGTTCTGATTTGACGGGAGCCTTGACTGTTGAGATGAGCTTATAATTGACTTTTTCTTTTCTTTTTAAAAATCACTTATTTATTTTTATTTTACGTGGATTGGTGTTTTGCCTGCATGTGTGTCTATGTGAGGGTGTCAAATCACTTGGAGCTGGATTATAGACAGTTGTGAGCTGCCATGTGGGTGCTGGGAATCGAACTCAGGTTCTCTGGAAGAGCACCCAGCCCTATAATTGACTTTTCTGAGAACTTCAGATTATGATGGTGGTGGTGATGATGATGATGATGATGGTGGTGGTGGTGGTGATGATGATGGTGGTGGTGATGATGGTGGTGGTGGTGGTGATGATGATGATGATGATTATGACGATGACTCAACAAAAGGATTCTTCATT